AACTTAGCATGAGTCTCGAACTGTTTTAAATCTTTTGACTGAGTAATACCTTTCAAACTCATATTCATCTACTTTTTTTTGTTGATTCAACTTGTGACATGACGTTATATCGGTAGGTTTAAAAAAATTATTTTTTTTGAAAATAAAAAACAATGATTGTTAGATAGAAAAATTAAAGCAAACAAAATAAATTTCGTGATAGAAGATGCTTTCATTGAAAATAATAAAATACGAACCGTGACTATGACCATGGGCCATTTAACCTCTTTTTCAAAACATTACGAGGGAAATTAAAATATAATTAGACAAAATAACATAAAATGTGGGTTTTGGGCCTCATTCGATTACCACCAATTTTGAAAATAACATAAGATTCATCTTTGTCTATTAAGTTGAGCGAGAGAGAAAGAGCGGAGTGGAAGTCCAATTATGGATTTGCTTTGCTTGACGTCTCGTATGCTTGGTGTCTCGATCCTCTTCTTGGGTGCAACATTGACTTCTTCACAGAGATTCCCAACTCCTTATTCAAGAATGTCATCCTTAGCATATTCCTTTACCACAAAGGACTAACATAAATGAGGCAAAGACTTTTGTGGAACATGATTATTCCCCTTTTTTGTTATGACCCTCTCTTGACACAGAAGCAAAAGCTTGACAGAGTGTCATTCTTGTAAAATCGAGTTTCACAATTATGCTTAGAGAACTTGCAATTTTCTCAGTGTTGTCAGGACTAGTTGGAACTATCATCTTTACCATGCACAACTCATCCTCCATCTCTATCATATTGATAGTGGGGCTTCCATAATTCGTCAGAGGATTATTTTTGATGTTAGGTACAACAGTATTGACCACTATCTAGTCAATCAAGTCTTGGATCTTATGTTTAAAATTGATAGAGTCTTAAATATCATGCCCAACATTGTTGGAATGGTATGCACACATTCGATCGGCTCGGTAAAATTGGAAGATAGTATCAATAGGCTTGGACCCAACTAGATGAATAATACCTGCCGCACTCATTTTCTCAAATAAGTTTGTCTGTCTTTCAATGAGCAGCGTAAAATTATGAGCAGGTTTCTTCTCGAATCTCGAACGAGGAGGATCATAATGACTTTGTTGAGGCGGAGGCATTTGACGATATTTGGGGCGTTTTGACAAAGAGGTGTTTTGTACTTTCAGTCAATCATGTTAATAGTGAATCCACGATTCAACAGTGAATTACCAGTGGCATTGGAAGTGACAGTTTGAAAAGTGGCAATTATTTGATTAATGAGTTTTGAATTTTATGCTTCAAATTGATGCAATCCTCAGTGGTATGTCTAGCACTTCCTGAATGGTAAGCACAATGAAGAATGAGCATGTAAAGTATGGTATTGGCGTTGACATTTTTTGGGTCAATTGTTTGTATAAGACCAACTGCTTTCAACCTCTCAAAAAGTTGTGTTAACTTTTAACCAAAGGAGTAAAGACTTGAGAAGGTTTCTTAAAAAATTTCTGAGAAGAAATATTATAATCATTTCGTGCAGATTGAGGATTAACAAAACTTCATATTTCCCTACTCCAATAATTTGATCACAATAAACTCTCAAATGAGTCAAAGGATTTTCAAATCCACTAAAAGTGTCAATTTTTTGTACTTTAAAACCTCCTAGAAGTTTCAAATATGAATGACGACACAAATCTTTATAATTGAACCACATAATGTCTGGAGTGTATTGAACGTCCTTCATTGCATTCATAACTTCCTCTTTGATGCTTTTCTTAACCCTTCCTCTTATGACCTTCCACTCCTTCTCATTCTTCTGATAATGATTGGGTTCAAAATGTGTAATAGATGAAGGGTATAATCTGGCGATATTGGAAGGTAAAATGTGTTTTTTAGAGATATGGGTTGAGTGGTAAGCGGGTTTTAAACAATTTGAGTAGGGATTTGATGGACCTGAGGAAAATTCTCGAAAATAATTACATTTGAATTTTGAGAAGTCGATGAATTTTGGTGTAAGGAGCTAGCATGATGTGGGTCAGGGGTGATTAAGTCAATGATGACATGCTTTGGATCCGAAGTAGGAAAATGGAGTGGAGACCTGTCGTTGCTTGAAGTAGAAACGTTGGCAATAATAGCCTGATTCGTTAAATCTGAGGTCTTATCCATCTCCTCCCTCATTTCAACAATTTGATGGAACAATTTTTCAATCAACTTGTTCTGTTCAGCAATGATAGGTTCATTACAACGATTTCATTCAAATCAGTATTCTCAACATTTTCAACCACTTTTTCTTTGCCTTTTGACAAAAATCATTTGGAGAAGGAATATTTTGGGTCTTTAGACCTTGTGAAATATGGATATTCAGATATTTTCTCAACACAGATCAGTTTTGAGTCTGACAAAGAAAAACAACTCAAAGAAAAATGTGTTAGTTTTGTCGTTGATGAATAATACAAAATATTACAGACATAACTATAAACACATACGAGTTGTTTCACTTGAAGATAAACTAGCCCACGTATATAGAAAAATGACTAATAGATAGGAATTTGTCTATTTGATTTTAGGACTAATGAGTCAGAAATGTCAACTTGAGTCGGGACAAAGTCAATTTTTTCTTTGATTGTCGTACTTCTGATTTTTTACTGAGACGTAACTCTAGTTTCTTTGTAAGAGTAAGAAATTATAGATTTTCTCTAAAAACAAAGACTGATCCTTGAAAGGGCTACGTATCTCACAAAAGAGATTGCAGGTCCTACATGGTTCGACCAACTTGAATTTTTTTCCGCTTTGAGAGAATCTTTTTTTTTATATGAGAGTAATAATTGAAAAAAATAATGTTTGAATTTTATTGGAAACTTAAGACTCGAAGAGTATTTGGACAAACTTTTGATAGTGACTTGATATTTATGCCTAGGGGTTCTAAATATAATTCAAAGAGGGTGAGATAAAGTATCTCCAAATATAGCGACATAATCACACAAACAATTATAACACATTAGTAAATATTGAGCGTCCTAAGCAAATATATGACCTTTTTGTGCCAAGGGTAGACCTACCAATTTGAAGGATCTGTACATCATTTGAAACATTTCATTGCCCAAAACTCAAATTTATACAAATTTTCTAAATAAACCAAATGGGGATACATAGTAGGGAAGTGGGATAAAAATAATTAATCCCACGCAGGGGCATAACCCTAATCTATGCCACTATGAAAGGTCTTTCAATTTTGATTTCTTCTCACTTCCGAATGCCGATGCCTTTGAATGGAGTAGTGACTTGCGAAAATCTTTTTTCTACTAAAGTAGATTATAATATACTTCTTACCCTAAGGACAATAATTTTTCAGATGACGTATACATCTTTCAAATTTAAATAAATAAATATGATCGTTCATACCGTGGGCCCTTGTAGACTCGAGTTGGTCTATCTAATGGGCCCAACACGCCTTGGGTTTTGGGTCATCTTAGGCTAATGCTTAGATTTGAATCTGGTTTTGCTCTACTCTACGTTGACTAGAATTGATTTAGAAATGACGGTTACCCGAGTCAAACAAACACTAGGTGAAGACTAATAAACGACATCAGATGACCACATGTCAACTATTCGTTTATCACTTCCAAAGAATTTAACTTGTATTTTTTCTGAAGGAAAGTCGTGGTAAGCCACGTAACCGCCTTTTTTCAGAATACAATCTATGTGTTGTTTGGCAGAGTTGATGCCATGAAATGCCACAATTCATAATTTACAAGAATTGAAACAATTAAACAATTTAAGCAAATAGCCAAATAGGTTAATTTGAAGGTTAAAACCTATTCAAGTCCCAGCAGAGTCGCCACTTAATTTTTAAATTCGCCACTTAATTTTTAAAGAAAATCAAGAAAACTATCTTTCAAAGATTAAAACAAAAATCTAATGAAAACGTAAAAAAAAAGGGGGATTCGATGATCATATTAATGTTCTAGGAAGGTTTTTTAAAGCACCTAGAACATCCTCTAACAAGCGGTTATCTTACAATAAACATATTTGGCTAATGTTTTAAAAGATAAGTATGTTTGATTATGTGAAAGTAAAATATCTACTTCATTTTAAAATTCTAATACAAAATGGCTAACTTTCGCGGATTTTGAATATTTGAAACCTTCAAATTAATTAAGAACATAAAACATATACAAAACAAATAAATGAGATAGGGAAAAAAGATTTGGTACCAAGTCTAGATCTGTCAGCCTGGGCCACTATTTCAACCCATTTTTATTTCTGACCTTTGGCCCATTTGAGTTCCCTACACCGTCCTAAACTAACAATATTATCTTTTTGGGGATCAATTCTTTCACCTCTCCTAAACTAACAAAATAATATTGAAAATAGATGGGGATTTGGTCCAACTAAAATATAAATAAGAACTAGAAAATTGGTGCACTAGATGTATATTAGTGTATACAATCCGCCTCACTCTCACTTTCCCCCGTTTTCTTTCTCTTCCTCTTCTCCTTTCTCCCCCTCAGTGCTTCGATCACCAATTCAGGATGAGGCAGCAAAATACCACCAATAGTAGCCGGCGAGGAGCGAAGCCAACACCACTAATTGCTTGCTGATTTGATGAGATATGATGAAATACAACAACAAGAAACAACAAGAACACACCAAGACCGGAGAGTTCAAAAGAAACCAAAAGATGTGAATGGAAAGCTACAGCGCCTTCGGCTCATTCTTTCTCACTTTTCAATGAAACAAAAGGAACATTAAGAACCCCGACAAGTAGCTGCAAATGTGAATTCCCTGTTGTGTCGTCATTCTATTTTATTTAAAAATAATTAATTAGGAGTTTTAGAGTCTACACTTAATTTTTAAAGAAAAATCAATAAAAACTATTTCTTTCAAAAGATTAAAACAGAAATATAATGAAAATATAAAAAAGGAATTCGACAATCATATTACTATTCTTGGAAGGTTTTTAAAGCACCTAGAACATCCGCTAACATACAGTTATCCGACAATAAAAATATTCGGCTAATATTATAAAAGATAAGTAATTTTATTAAGTGAAAGTAAAATATCTACTTGATTTGAGTTCCCTGCACCTGTTCTAAACTAACAATATTTTTTTGTTGGGCCATAGGTCCAATTCTTTCACCTTTCCTAAACTAACAAAATAATATTGAAAATAGATGGGGCTTTGACCCAATTTCAATATAAATAAGAACTAGAAATTTGGTGCACTAGATGTATGCTAGTATATACATTCATACGGCAAGCAGCCAGGCGTGGCCGTGCGAGCTGAGCAGTGTCGGCGTCGCCTCACTATCGCTTCCCTTGTCTCTATCTCTTCTGCTTCTTCTTTCTCCCCCTCGCTCCTATGATCAGCAATTTCGGCGAAGGCAGCAAAATACCAGCAACAACAACTGGTGAGGAGCGAAACCAGCACTACCAATCGCTTGCTACTCCGACGAGATACCAACAAAACAAAAAAGCGAGCAACTCCAAGCAACAACTACAACATTCAAAGATGGGAGAGCTCTGAAGCATCCACCAGATGCGAATGGCAAGCTTCGGCGCCTTCGGCTTCTCCTTTCTTAATATTCGATAAAACAGAAGCAACATAAACAACCCTAGCCAACAACTGCAATGGCGAGTCCCTAACATAGTCTCCATTTTGTTTTATTTAAAAAATAAATAATTAGGGTTTCTAAAGTTACCACTTAATTTTTAATGAAAAATCAAGAAAATTAATTTTTCAAAAGATTAACACATAAATCTAATGAAAATGTAAAAAAGGGGATTCGAGGATCATATTAAAGTTCTAGGAAAATTTTTAAAGTATCTAGAACATCCGCTACCACACGATTATCCAAAAAAAATATTTATAATATTTAAAATTGATGGGGCTTTAGCCCAATTAAAATATAAATAAGAACTGAAAATTTGGTGCACTAGATGTATACTAGTGTATACATTCCCATACGTTTGCTCCAAACACATGTACATCGAGTTCATGAGCTTTTTTTAATGATTGGCTGACTCAAATAAAAGTGATCGGGCCTTCACAACACATTTCGAAGATGCAAGGAAGAATATATGAAGTCTGTAGGCTCAATCAACGGATTTCATGAAAGAAAAGACGATAAGGATTCGGATAAAGAATAATATATCAGCCTACTTGGTAACAAATGAACTCAACATAGGATGGAAAAAAATTACTACTTCAAAGTTTAAAAATAAAAAATATAAGGACTCTTTAACATAAGAACATGATTAAGAGAAATGAAATTGACATGTATTGAAGTAGTGAGTATATTTATACAAATCAATGAGAATCCTAAAGAAAAACTTTCATCAAATAATCACTAAATGCTTGAAAGAAAACAAATATGTGACTAAGAAAACTATACTCAAACTGATTACAGGGACTATCTTCTTTCTTTAGGATGAAGACACACTTCCAACATTATAGTTTTGAAATAAGCAAAACACATTAAACACCCAATTGTCACAGTAAACAAAACTCTTAGGCAATATCTAAGATTTTTAAGTAAACACACATAAAACAAGAAACTTGTCAAGAACATTCAAAGAATAGGACCATTTTATATATACACAACCATATCTAGAGGATCAAGGCTACAAAGGGAGATTTAGGTTAAAAAAGAAGAGGGCTTTGTGTTTTGAAACTTGAGTTTAAAAAGGGAATCAGAAGAACATGCATTCAATGATATGATTGTAGCTGAAATGGTTGTTAAATGGTTTTGTATTTCATTTTCCTTGATAAATGATGGTGGTTGATACTGGTGGTGTCGCGACCCGAAAGTACCTCCTATAAGTTAGGAGGAACTCTCGTTTTGTGGACGGGCATACTTGACCCTTTGGGGTATTGTACAAGCCCTTCAACTAATATTTATTACATAAGACATGAAAAGTAGGGCGGAATTAAAACTTTTCACGAATAATTCAATAAAAAGGAAATCTTTCATAAATACTTAAGAAATCCTATCGTCACAAGCCAAACTTAAAGACACGACATAAATAACTTAGGGACACGACCCTTTACATTGAAATAAAAGACAAAATAAGTCTTAACATAAAGAAACTAAGAATATAGGAATTATGCCCTCGAATAAATGAGGACACACTTTATCTTGAGAGGAACTTTCCCAAGCTCTGTCTTCTAGACTTTAACCTTCAAAATGTTTCCAACCTCTACTTATGGTATATAAAAATATGAGGTTAGTACAAAACAATGTAATAAGTATGACATATGCAAAAAGGGACATTTTAGTAAAATACCATTTCATGCCAATTAAGTAAAACATTCATGAATTTATAAGCAAAGCATCATAAGAACTATCATTTAACACTTACAGAAGAACTCACATAATTTTAGTCAAAAGAAGGTTTTACAGTAACTTCCAAAAACTTACAGTGAATTAAAAATGCCCTTACAGTGAACTACTTTGAACTTTAATAATTAGTCATTTAAGACATTCACAATGAATTATCCTATTCTAAATGAGTGAACTTCCAAGGCCAAGCGAAAGAGAAAGTGAACTCATTTTCCGTAAGAGTTTCCCTAACTCGGGATTATCCTAAGACTCACTAAGGTAAGACATAAAAGAAGTATGCATATGGCTCTTTCAATACACACCAAAGAAATCCTCAAGACTACCCCTTTCGGCTTACTGAACTCGGGAGAAAGAAGCCCCTCCATCAATGTCAAGACATCAAAAGACACCCAACAAGCCACAAAAGTCTTCCCTTTTGGAATGTCTACTTAGTGCAATGAGTAGATAGTTTCCTATACCACCACCTACCCTAGGTAGTACATTCTTTTAGAAGGTTTGACACCAAGTCTTCCCTTTTGGAAGGTCCTACTTAGTGCAATGGATAGATAGCGTCTCATACCACCACCTACCCTAAATAGTACATTATTTTAGAAGACTTAGTTCATTCAATTCAATTAAGTCTCACCAAGACTCCCCTTTCGGATTGCCTACCTAGTGCAATAGATAAATAGCATCCCATTCCACTACCTACTCTAAGTAGAAACTTCCTTTAGAAGACTTAGCACGTTTATTTATTTTGTGGGAGTTAGCTTAAAAGACATAGACCATGAGAGCTAGACAGGGAATCCCAACATTAACCCCTATCGGATGAGGGATCCTCACTTGCCTAGAATGAGGTAATTCTCTTAGTATTTACATGGCTTTTCCATAGCTACATCTGGGATAAGGAGATTGCTACTAAGCAACTCATTCTCTACTAATGAGAAGTACTCATCTCAAGAGGTACATAGGTTTACAACATCTCAACTCACGAAGTGCAATCCACCTCTCCTTCATATCCTCTCGGTGCTAGGCATAACTTCCCACGGATTCTCAACATTATAGACTATATGTTAAGGATTTCTAGTGAACACCACATCTCAACTCACGAAGGGCATTCATCGTATGACCTATCTTTGAAAGCTTATGGGATGTACTGGGGTTGCTACTACACTCTTCATCTCAACTCATGAAGGGTATTCACCCCAAAACTCCCCTTTAGGACTTATAATAGGTTCATTCATTCATTCAAGTGTGAGTGTGTGTGTACATGTGAGCATACCTTGCACATAAGCTTCATTTCATTTACGTTTCATTTATACAATCTTAGACCTTCCTTCATCACATCACACACTTTACATACTTCATATAATCATATAAGTCCTTTATACATAATCCTTAACATACTTCTCATAACAAGCTTCATAAAACACTTAACAAGAATATCTTCATTTAAGCATAATCTCTAGCCTATTTCACATAATCACTTCATAAGGCACATTTAACAAGAATAGCATATTTATCATCTTACATTACATAGCAAGCCTTAATAGCCTCACTCACAAAAATCTAGTAACTTTACATTCATACCATTTAAATAAACACCGCTACCAAGAAGGTGGACCATACCACTCAAGAGCATTTGAAATTGAAACCAAACAACATAATCAACTTATCCTTTAATCCATGATTTCATAACCTATAACATTTTATCCAATAATTAATCATAAATTAGCCCTTTGGTCAGTATCTAAACAACATTAACAACCATAAGAAATCAAATCTCAAGGACTATCAGTTCATGCTCATATAACCAATTTCTTATGCCAACATTAGATGAAAAGACTTAACATGATCTAATTGAAGTTTTAAACTTAAAATCATCAAATAACATTATAAATACCATTATAAATTCATTAGAAACGTTTTCATACAAGGCCCATATTTAGATTTGAAGATAATATAAACTAGGGTTGAAAATCCATTTTGAAAATTAGTTTGAAGGGGATCCTTGAATAAAAGATAGTTCAAGGATGGATATCATACATAACATTGAAGAAATAACAAAGATTTATGTTGGAGAAACTACCATAAACATCCCTCGTAGCATTTCTTGACTTCTAGCTTCCATGGAGACTTGAGAGAGAATTCTAAGAGAGAGGGGTTTTGGGTTTTAGGAAGAGGGATCTAAAATGAGGTCTTAGGGTTTAGAACACTTTAATATACCTAATAAATAATTAATAAATAATAAACTATCCACCTTGGGTCTTTAATATACTTGGGGTGCATTTACATAAAACACTCCAAGTTCGCAGCAACTTCACAGACTTGGCAGACCTCACAGACGAGACCTTCACCAACGGACCGTCTGTGCATCAACGGACCGTTGGTAGGGTCTCGTGGTTTGGGACTTAGCTCCAAATGGATCCTGGAGACCATGAGCTTCTATTCCAATCGACGCCTTAGGTCGACGGACCAACAGACCGTCCTTAGGGTCGTTGATGGCTAATACTTTTTGGCAGTTTTGCCCAAGTCTTGGGCCCTTCATCTATGGCCCTTTGTGGGTCCTATGTGGGATCGTTCCTGGACGTTAAACCCCTAAAATAATTTTTCTAAGTCTTAGGAACATCTCATGCAAGTTTCAAGCAAAACTAACAAATAAAACTCACTCAAACACCTCAAGACACAAGCGCTACCTAAGGCACACCTTCCAAACGTCATGGACGTTCTTGGGCATTTGACCTCCAAACTTAACCAAACTTCACACACTTACTAAGAACACTAAATTAACTCATTTAAAATTAAAATTAAATCAAGAAACAACCACGAGGATCTAGTTCACCATAGTTTATTTTGGTGCGTTATAGGTGGTGGTGTTAGTGGTGATGGTTCCTTGTTAAATTTAAGTTTAAAAAGCGAAGAAGAAGAACATGCATTCAGTGATATGGTTTTAGCTTTAATGGTTGTTAAATGATTTTGTATTTCATTTTCCTTGTTGAAATGTTTTGGCTTTTCCAATTGTTGTTTCTTGTGCTATTCATGGCTTGGTTCTAGGTGCTTCTTATTGAACCTTAGGAAATTGATTGTAATCTTTTTCATATAATAGATCATATCACATAATCACCATAGGTTTGCCGAATATTTTGATTTCCTTGTTGATATTTTTCGTGGTGTTGAGACCAAACATTTTTTTTAATTGCACTGTTCAAATTGTTTGGTGTATCCCTTTTTGATTGTAATCTTTTTGATATAATAGATCCTATCGCATAATCACCATAGGTCTGCCGAATATTTTGATATCCTTGTTGATATTTTTCTTGGTATTGAAAC